GATATTTTCAGTAAAACGATGCTGATATTTTTAGAAAATTGTTCTGAGCCATTAAGTCTGAACTTGAATCTTAAAGGACAGATTAATTGTCTTTATCTCCATGTCCCTCTCTGTCCTCTGTCGAACGGTGAAAACCCCAGGTCTCTATTTTGTTCCTATCGAAAGTTATTACAAAAATACTAACGGCCATCTTTTTATTGGACAGACAATAGTTTAAGCATTCTTTTCTTTTGTTATTATTATTTTTAGGATAAACTCTTAAGTTTTATTATTGAACTGGTCGATATTAGGATGACAACTTTGATAATTGCTGAGAATAGAAAACTAAATATAAAATTTAGATTTTCTCTTCCAGAAAAAAATTGCTTGGAGGCTAGTTATAAAAATAATAGTCACAGCCTTGCAGATTCGAAGTTTCACGACATTCCGATTGAATCTTGAAGTAGAATTAATTCCAGATTCATTTATATAAATTCTTGTACGTCATTCAAGAATTTTTTAGGTTATGTATACTCAAAAAAAAAAATACAAAACTGAAAGAAAAAGGTTTCTTGATTTTACGAACGAAAGCGTCTCCCTATAAGAATCAACATAAAACTTTTACAGAAATCAAGACTAGAAAAAAAGCAATTTTGTAGATCTTCACATGTCTTCACAATACGAAAATTATGTCTACGAGTATAAATTCGAAATAAACATTAAAATATATGCTAATAGAACATAACAACCTAGAAAATTAGACTAGATATCAGTGAAATCTCTTTATTATGGTTCAAAATGTAATCTTTCAATTCTCCTTATGTGCTGCTCGGGAAAAAAATGAACTCTTACTAATCCTAAACTTCTCAAAAGTAGAAGCTCGTTTGATTTTTCGAAAACTTACCAGTAAAATTTTGTTCAACAACAAAACCGACAACTATTAGAATTACTACAAGAGTAACAACGATCAATCGATAATTAATTGGAAGAAATTGTGAAAGATAAATAAATAAAATAAACCAAATAGGTATCGAAAATATATTGAGTATATATTTTATTAGTGATGAACTATTATAAAGACTTAAAACAGCAAATATATAAATAATAACAAGTGATGTCATCCATGATGAATCAAAAAGATGAATATGTCTTTCAAATATAACAAAATAATCATATCCTATTGTTGTTATATAATGATAAATAACACCGGATTGAAGAAATTCAATAGAAGGTAAAAAAATAATAATTAATATTAATTGTTTCCATTTTCGAATACATAAAGGAACAATATATTCAATAGTTTTGTCAAATATTTGTATTGGTAAAATAATAATTAAACCATAAAATAATAAATATGACTTTGTATCAAATTCGCGTAAATGGTATCGAGCTATTGAAGTAAAACGATTTTTAAATGGAAATAAAAATGCACCGGCAAGTATAGACCATAAAATACTCTGTAGAAATGGTTCTAATATGCGATAGACAATGAGAGCACACGCTCCACATACTATCACAAATAAGATAGTTGCAGAATGAATAAATCCTGTACGAAATATTTTTTGATCACGTTTAGGTGAAAGATTTAAGACTGATATAACACGAGTATCTAGAAAAAGAAAAATAATTAAAAATCAAATATTTATTTGTCAAGTATTTTACCATTAGTAAAACCCATGTTAGATCTATCAGCATGTTGTGGACAAGTAGTCATTAATTCATTGCTATAACAAAATAAACAATGTTAAGTTCGATATTTCATTCTCCGTTGCCACTATACAGTCTTTAATATGTTATAATTTGATAGACTATAAGGCGAGTGGAATCAAAGGTAACGAAAGATGACGCTCAGTTCCAGAACCTATTAATCTGAAAATAACAAATAATGTCATTATTCCTATTCAAATGTCACAGCTTGAAAAGCACTTTTACTGGTAGAAAATTTCGAGACACTCACGTTTTGATACGAAATATTTTTATTATCTTATTAAATCTCACAGTCAAACATAAGATTTGCTTCAAATATTTTCAATATTTTCCGATAAATTCTAGATTATGAACTATACGTAAAGATATGTGTTCTAAAGACAACTTTTTAAGCAAAACACATCTTCACAAAGAACTGCAGAAATTTTACCTCCGTGTACTTGCTAAATAATTAAAGTTTTATCAGATTGTGAAATCTAGCACAAAAAAGTTCTATTCACTTGGAAATTGACTATATCAAGAAATGAATGTTTATACTTTTATTGAAACTTTCAGGACTATACAATGATTCTCAAATGAACCAATATACATAATTTCAACGCAAAACTTTTTGTTTTGAATTTTTCCGAAAGGTATCACTTCTAATTAAGATTTTATTAAAACGGCAATAACTCTTCAACAGTAGACCATTGATCCATATCTCTGTAAGTTTGTCTTAAGGCCGCCACCCCCCCCCTCCGAGAATCAATTTTTTTTAAAAAATTCAATTTTCAAGATAAACCTATGGTTGTTACCTCCCAGGTGTATG